CTCGATTTCTAGTATTTGAAAAAAAATTAAACGAATTGACCCGCGTACCAAATTGTAATCTGTTCCAATTTGACACTGGCCAACAGTAAGTCAATGAAAAAAAAAAACAAGTGTCACCCGGGCGGGACGACATTTGAAATTATGAGATGCTTTTTAATTTTAAAAGTTGTTCAGTTTTTATGAGCCTCCATTTTAACGTTTAGTTAAAAAGTTACTTATGTACAAAAGTCGTTCAGTTGGTGGTTCAGTAGATAGGCTTGCAATCGCCATAGTGCAGTGCGGAGGCTTGAATTATTTTTCTTGTAGAGTGTAGATAAAATAGTGTATGCAACTGCATATAATTAGGCTTTAGAATGCTCGTGTCAAATGCGCCTCGTGTGATAAACAGACACTCACATACTAAAGCCTCTCATTATTAGGCAGTTGCATAAACTACTATAACAACAGTAACAGTGACCGGGTAACGATGGTGAAACCGATTGTTTAAGATGCTTCATTGATGCTTCTGATACACGATCCAGTCTTACGTAAAATCAGGAGGTTAAGCCTGCAAAACCCTAACCAAACTGGGGACGAAATCGCAAATTTTTTAATTGTATTACATTGTCATAAAATATGATTGTTTCCTTTGATACAGCTCTGACGCATCAGGCGCGTCTACGCCGCCTCTAGAAATGAAGATGGACAAGAAAGAAGAAGACAAACCTACAGAACCAGCTGCAGAGAAGGAGAGAGAGGAAGAACCGCCGGGAGTGGACATAATGGCGCAGCAGCTCAAGTTCGTCGCCTGCTTGAAGATCTTAATGGAGGAACTCAGTACCCTGGCCACTGGGTTTGAAGTGGATGGTATGTGAAATCATGCATACATCACGCTTGTATTCCTAGGCAGAGCGTAAACGACTGTAAAAACAGTCATTTACACCACGCCTGTGACACCGTAGTGACAGGTTATCAGCCTGTCGCCTGAAATTGCAACATCAACTCTCAAATCCCTTAGTTCGCTTCACGGTAAAGATATGGGTTGATGCTATGCTAATTTAAAAAAAAGTTGGCTTGGCTTTATTCCCCAAACTCTGCCGTCGTCAAACTTTTTTATTCTTGTGCTACGTGCGTCACTGTACTTACCATGCATAGAGAGAAATCATGTAAGCGCCCTAAATGAAGTCCGTTTGAAGTTCCTCTGCGACAGCGGTGAATACTGAAAAGATTTCTTTAAAAGACGTATTTTTCATTCACAACTTTTATTTTGTCCACCAGGTGGCCACCTCCGCTACCAGTTATACATCTGGCTAGAACGCGAAGTGGAGGCTTTACGCCGACTCTGCGGCTACGCGTCCACCGCTGGCCCTGGCGGGGAATTGATTTGTGCGGACAGTGAATTACCGCCGCTACCGGAAAGACCAACATTGCATCAGCTGTTGATAAGGGAAAAAGCAGACTTCGAAGCCAAAGTGCAGAGGGCTGTTAGAAGAAAACAGTGGCTAAAAGGTAGGTCACTATTTCTATCTTTGTGCCCTTCCTATAGATATAAGTTGGTGTTAGATTTGTTTCTGGTGAGGCACTGATATGTGCGGATAGTGAATTACCGCCGCTACCGGAAAGACCGACGTTGCATCAGCTGTTGATAAGGGAAAAGGCTGACTTCGAAGCCAAAGTGCAGAGAGCTGTTAGAAGAAAACAGTGGCTCAAAGGTAGGCCACTATTTCTATTTATTACTATACTCTGTGCTCTTCCTATAGAAATAAGTTGGGTGTTAGATTTGTTTCTGGCGAGGCACTGATATGTGCGGATAGTGAATTACGCCGCTACCGGAGAGACCGACGTTGCATCAGCTGTTGATAAGGGAAAAGGCAGACTTCGAAGCGAAAGTGCAGAGAGCTGTTAGGAGAAAACAGTGGCTAAAAGGTAGGCCACTATTTCTATATTTTGTTCCTTTCCTAAAGATATAAGGTAACATCTTAGATGTGGCTCTGGCGGGGCACTGATATGTGTGGATAGTGAATTACCGCCACTACCGGAGAGACCAACGTTGCATCAGCTGTTGATAAGGGAAAAGGCAGACTTCGAAGCCAAAGTGCAGAGGGCTGTTAGAAGAAAACAGTGGCTCAAAGGTAGGCTACTATTTCTAGCTTATTATTACTATACTTTGTGTCTGCCACTACCGGAAAGACCGACTTTGCATCAGCTGTTGATAAGGGAAAAGGCAGACTTTGAAGCCAAAGTGCAGAGGGCTGTTAGAAGAAAACAATGGCTAAAAGGTAGGTCACTATTTCTATACTTCTATAGATATAAATTGGGTGTCAGATTCGTTTCTGGCGGGGCACTGATATGTGCGGATAGTGAATTACCGCCACTACCGGAGAGACCGACGTTACATCAGCTGTTGATAAGAGAAAAAGCAGACTTTGAAGCCAAAGTGCAGAGGGCTGTTAGAAGAAAACAGTGGCTCAAGGGTAGGTTCTTTAAATAAAATTAAATAAGAAAAAAGATATTCCTTTAGTTGCTAATAATACTTGTAGCTGGGTAACTAGATTTGTTGTTTTATTATTATTAACAAGCAGTTCCTGTAAGTAAATTTTATGTTCCGGTAATGATTTCGTTTTACTGGAAAGACCTGACAGACTGACAGACTGAAGACCCTGAAATGTTTTTTCTCATTACAATGAAACAACTTGAACGGATTTTAGTTGTATATTTAGGTTTTTAATTAACCCTTTTCAAGTTGTATCATTATAATGAGTGATAGTTGTGCAAACAAAAGAAAATATTATATTATGTTGTTTCTTTTTGCAGCCAATGAAACTCTCCTGCGAACATTACTATCGTACTGCTCGCTTCACGGCGCCGGCGGCGGCGGCTTAGCCTCAGTTCGAATGGAGCTGGTGTTACTACTACAAGAACTGGGACAAGATAAACAGCATCAACAGCTACTATCGCCTCTGCCGTTCCCGACGACGCTACCATTACTGGCTGCGGCGGTCGCGGCTAATAATACTGTGGTTGCTGATCCCGTCAGGCATTTACAGGTACATATAGTCATAGAAAGTGCTTCAAACCTTACTATCCTATAGAACATTCCTCTAGCCTCAGTTCGAATGGAGCTAATCTTACTACTACAAGAACTAGCACAATATAACTACTGATTAGTTACTGTCGCCATTGCCGTTTCCCGACGATGCTGCCGCTGTTGCAGCTAATAATACAGAAGTTACCGATCCGGTCGGACATTTAAAGGCTTTTAAAGGCTTGCGCAGATAAAGAATGGATCTCGAATTGACAACACTGTTATCTGCCTCTCTATCATATTATGTGACATATAAGTAGGATGTCAACAATATGTTGCCAATTCGGGTCCATTCTTTGTCTGTGCAAGTTGTATCCTATTGCTCACATCACGGGGCCGGCGGTGGCTTAGCCTCAGTTCGGATGGAGCTGGTCTTACTACTACAAGAACTAGGACAAGATAACACCAGCAGTTACTATCGCCTCTGCCGTTCCCGACGACGCTACCATTACTGGCTGCGGCGGTCGCAGCTAATAATACTGTGGTCGCCGACCCGGTCAGGCATTTACAGGTACTTATAAGAATGTCATAGAAAATGCTAAAAACCTTACTATCCCATTGCGCACTCTATGGCGCGGGCGGCGGCGCTTCAAGGTGCGTATTCATTTATCGACATTGTTTAGCGGCATTGTTTATCAACTTTTTATACATACAATTTATGCTTAGCAACTTTGGTTGCCGTGGGACTAAGTTACTCAACAATGTTGCTAAACAAACACCTTTCAAATGTGGCATATACAATGTGTATAAACAACAAAATCTCCGCCGGCAACACACGTGAAGTTGCCGCAATGTGAAGTTGTTGATATACAAAGTTGCGGGTCAATGTTGCTGAAATACCTGCCTTGAGCCTTAGTTCGGATGGAGCTGGTGTTACTACTACAAGAACTAGGACAAGATAAGCAGCATCAGCAGTTACTGTCGCCTCTGCCGTTCCCGACGACGCTACCATTACTGGCTGCGGCGGTCGCGGCTAATAATACTGTGGTTGCTGATCCCGTCAGGCATTTACAGGTACATATAGTCATAGAAAGTGCTTCAAACCTTACTATCCTATAGAACATTCCTCTAGCCTCAGTTCGAATGGAGCTAATCTTACTACTACAAGAACTAGCACAATATAACTACTGATTAGTTACTGTCGCCATTGCCGTTTCCCGACGATGCTGCCGCTGTTGCAGCTAATAATACAGAAGTTACCGATCCGGTCGGACATTTAAAGGCTTTTAAAGGCTTGCGCAGATAAAGAATGGATCTCGAATTGACAACACTGTTATCTGCCTCTCTATCATATTATGTGACATATAAGTAGGATGTCAACAATATGTTGCCAATTCGGGTCCATTCTTTGTCTGTGCAAGTTGTATCCTATTGCTCACATCACGGGGCCGGCGGTGGCTTAGCCTCAGTTCGGATGGAGCTGGTCTTACTACTACAAGAACTAGGACAAGATAAGCAGCATCAGCAGTTACTATCGCCTCTGCCGTTCCCGACAACGCTACCGTTATTGGCTGCGGCGGTCGCAGCTAATAACACTGTGGTTGCTGATCCGGTCAGGCATTTACAGGTACATATAGTCATAGGAAGGGCTTCAAACCTTACTATCCTATAGCAAATTCCTTTAGCCTCAGTTCGGATAGAGCTTGTCTTATTACTACAAGAACTAGGACATACATATAGTCATAGAAAGTGCTTCAAACCTTACTATTCTATAGCACATTTCTCTAGTTAGTTTAAATGGAGCTGGTCTTACTACTACAAGAACTAGGACAAGATAACACCAGCAGTTACTATCGCCTCTGCCGTTCCCGACGACGCTACCATTACTGGCTGCGGCGGTCGCAGCTAATAACACTGTGGTCGCTGATCCGGTCAGGCATTTACAGGCACGAGTACATATAAAAGTGCTCCGAACTCAGTGATTGACTCCGAACTCAGTGATAGCTCAGTTGGCAGAGCAGTGGGGTGATACCCCACGGTCCCGGATTCAAGCCCCGACCAATTCTAACAGTTTTCCAATTTTTTTTATTCATTTGCGAGACCTTCCTATGGATACCTTAACATTCTCGTGTGAATTATTTGGTTTGTAGTAGAACCGTCGTATAAATATTTCCTTTCCCTTTTACATTGTATTTACGTCTTGATAAATCTAAATACTTACCTTTACGAATATACTTACTCATGTCATTTAATCATTTCAGAGCGTGGCGCACGACATGCTAGGCACGATAGGAGAGCTTGGCATCCCCGGCAGTTCGGCGACGCGGATATTGCACACGTTACGAGAACTGGCTGTGGCTTTGTCCGCCTGCATCTACCAGAGCCTGTGCGACTCGGATACCTTCACTGTGAAGCATACACATCATCATGACGGGTAAGAAGGACAATAAATAGGACAAGTGGTTTCTGACGAACCAAAATACTTATATTGCACACGTTACGAGAACTGGCTGTGGCTTTGTCCGCCTGCATCTACCAGAGTCTGTGCGATTCGGATACATTCACGGTGAAGCATACGCATCATCATGACGGGTAAGAAATACAATTGATTGGGCAGGTGTTTTCTGACGAACCAAAATACTTATATCACACAAAGTCAAAGTCAAAGCATTTATTTCTCAGTAGGATGGGTAAGTAGTACTATAAATTGGACAGGGGTTTTCTGACGAACCAAAATACTTATATTGCACACGTTACGAGAACTGGCCGTAGCTTTGTCGGCCTGCATCTACCAGAGTCTGTGCGACTCGGATACCTTCACGGTGAAGCATACGCATCATCATGACGGGTAAGAAATACCGGGAGTAACGGAAAGGGTATTAACAAGCCGAAAGGAGGTCAAGGTACTCATGAAACTGAACAACTTTCCCCATGAAACATGGGTCGAAATATGAAAAAAAATTTGGACCTCCCATACAAAATCGCCGATCAGCCAATTTTTTTTTTAATGTACAAAACAGTGTTACACTTATAAACTAAAACAGTGTCCCACAAAACTGCACAAACAGTTTGACTGTAGGATCAAGCAATACTCGCTACTTAAACATACTAATAATTAAATACATTTTATGTTATACTTAATTGATTTACTATGGGAGGTCGAAATTTCTTTTTCATATTTCGACCCATGTTCCATGGGGAAAGTTGTTCAGTTTCATGAGTACCTTGACCTCCTTTCGGCTTGTTATACCCTTTCTGTTACTCCCTGTACAATAAATAGGACAGGTGTTTCTGACGAACCAAAATACTTATATTGCACACGTTCCGAGAACTGGCCGTGGCTTTGTCGGCCTGCATCTACCAGAGTCTGTGCGATTCGGATACCTTCACGGTGAAGTATACGCATCATCATGACGGGTAAGAAACACAATATATTGGACAAGTGGTTTTTTGACGAACCAAAATACTTATATTGCACACGTTACGAGAATTGGCCGTGGCTTTGTCGGCCTGCATCTACCAGAGTCTGTGCGACTCGGATACCTTCACTGTGAAGCATACGCTTCATCATGACGGGTAAGTAGTACTATATAGGGTGTAATTTCATTAGTGGCGGATCCGTTAAGGGTGTGTTCTGTCAATGAAACTGAACAACTTTCCCCAAGGAACATAGGTCGAAATAATTGACAGAAGACACCCTTAACGGATCCGCCACTAATTAATGAAGAACCGAAAGAATTATATTGCACACGTTACGAGAACTGGCTGTAGCTTTGTCGGCCTGCATCTACCAGAGTCTGTGCGATTCGGATACCTTCACGGTGAAGCATACGCATCATCATGACGGGTAAGAAATACATTAAACTGATCAGGTGAAGCACACGCATCATCATGACGGGTAAGTAATACATTAAACTGATCAGGTGAAGCACACGCATCATCATGACGGGTAAGTAATACATTAAACTGATCAGGTGGTTTTGCTGACGAACCAAAATACTTATATTGCACACGTTACGAGAACTAGCTGTGGCTTTGTCGGCCTGCATCTACCAGAGTCTGTGCGATTCGGATACCTTCACGGTGAAGCATACGCATCATCATGACGGGTAAGAAATACAATTGGTTGGACAGGAGTTTTCTGACGAACCAAAATACTTATATTGCACACGTTACGAGAACTAGCTGTGGCTTTGTCGGCCTGCATCTACCAGAGTCTGTGCGATTCGGATACCTTCACGGTGAAGCATACGCATCATCATGACGGGTAAGAAATACAATTGGTTGGACAGGAGTTTTCTGACGAACCAAAATACTTATATTGCACACGTTACGAGAACTAGCCGTGGCGTTGTCGGCCTGCATCTACCAGAGTCTGTGCGATTCGGATACCTTCACGGTGAAGCATACGCATCATCATGACGGGTAAGAAATAAAATCACGGTGGCGTGGCGATAGTGCGCTTGCCTACTAAGCAAGGCGACTTGCGTTCGAATCCGAATAGAAATCTCCTAACTTTTGGGAGGTCCGTAGCTACTACGTGGGCCGGTGTTGGCAGGGAGCCGGTCTATTTCCTTGCCATCGTATATGTTGAAGCGTAATAAGCAATCATATATGGTAAAAAAAAAATTGGACAAGTTGTTTCTGACGAACCAAAATACTTATATTGCACACGTTACGAGAACTGGCCGTAGCTTTGTCGGCCTGCATCTACCAGAGTCTGTGCGATTCGGACACCTTCACGGTGAAGCATACGCATCATCATGACGGGTAAGAAATACTATACATTAGACAGGTGTTTTCTGACGAACCAAAATATTTATATTGCACACGTTACGTGAACTCATGGTATAATAAGATACTCCGCCTGGTATTCCATTCCGAAACTCGTGAATCACGTGACTGACACTTGCCTACGTCATCATGCTTGTGGGTTACCAGAATTACCCACTCTTATGATTGTTTTAGTAAATCATATAAGACACTGTTAACTAATAAATACAGTTCAAGTTAATACACACGTAAATTTAAATAGATTATTAAGAAATATTTTAGCTCTTGATTTGATCTTGATTGAATTTACCCCATAACGTATTTTATTGAAATAAAGTGGCAATACTAGTGACGTAGGCTTGTGTTTCTCTGGGAATGTAAGACCATGTTTTATTAGACTATTCGACAAGTGGTTTCTGACGAACTAATATACTTATATTGCACACGTTATGAGAACTGGCTGTGGCTTTGTCGGCCTGTATCTACCAGAGTCTGTGAGATTCGGATACCTTCACGGTGAAGCATACGCATCATCATGACGGGTAAGAAATGCTATACTGGACAGGTGTTTTCTGACGAACCAAAATACTTATATTGCACACGTTACGAGAACTGGCCGTAGCTTTGTCGGCCTGCATCTACCAGAGTCTGTGCGATTCGGATACCTTCACGGTGAAGCACACGCATCATCATGACGGGTAAGAAACGGGTAACAATACAAAAATAGGAGAGGGGTTTTTCGACAAAAAAGAACCGAAAGTGTTGCGAAAGACTTAGGAGCCGGAGCTCAAAATTTGACAATCAGCAAAGTCTATGGATTCGTAGAACGCCATCTTTAGGATTAGTTTCTCAAAAAATGCTTACTTTGTTTCAGCTTTATATACTTGCAACGGGAATTATGTTTTTCATCCCCTCTATTCAAAAAACTACACTTTGGTCGCACATAAGTGGGACTAAAATAGGTCATTTAATCCCAAGGGATTAAAATTCATTTGAATTTGGAACACAAATATTTGCAGCCAATCAATCGAAAATTTACTACAGATGGGTTTTTTCTCTGCAACACTACCTGATATCTGCTATTTTATTGAGTATTTTACACCTAGTACGTAGCTTATAAAAGACCTAATTCCTAACAAAATTTGAAATTAAAAAGTAATGTGTCAAATTTTATTTTTCTTTTGGCGCGATAACTGGCCGGCAATGGGCAACAACAATATAACTTAAATTATATTGCAATAATATGAAATGAAATGTGTGATAATGATTTTGTAAATATTGGATATTTATAACGCAATTTATAGGATGTATTGTAAAATAATGGATAATAGCAAGCAATATTTAAAGAACTTCGTAGATTAAGTAAGTATTTGTTGTTTTTCTCATAGAGGGGGATGAAAAGTAGTATGTGTAACTCGGGTATAAAGTTATTTATTCTCGGGCGACTTAAATTGAATCCCTCGCTTCACTCACGATTCTACTTTAAAATCCCTCGCTACGCTCGGGATTTTACTCTAGAATCCCTCGTTCGCTCATGATTCAAAATAGCGCCCTCGCCTAAATATATCACTTTATTCCCTTGTTATAAAAACTAAAGTGATATATTTAGGGCGAGGGCGCTATTTTGAATCATGAGCGGAACGAGGGATTCTAGAGTAAAATCCCGAGCATAGCGAGGGATTTTAAAGTAGAATCGTGAGTGAAGCGAGGGATTCAATGTAAGTCGCCCGAGAATAAATAACTTTATACCCGAGTGATACATACTACTTTTCATCCCCCTCTATGAGAAAAACAATAAATACTTACTTAATCTACGAATTTTGCTTGCTTTTGTCCATTATTTTACAATACATCATATAAATTGCGTTATAAACATCCAATACTTACAAAAACATTATCACTCATTTCATTTCATATTATTGCAATATAATTGGGAGGTTATATTGTTGTTGCCCTTTGCCGGCCAGTTATCGCGCCAAAAGAAAAATAAACTTTGACACATAACTTTTTAATTTCAAATTTTGCTAGGAATTAGGTCTTTTATGAGCTACATACTAGGTGTAAAATACTCAATAAAATAACAGATAACAGGTACTGTTGCAGAGAAAATACCTATCTGTAGTAAATTTTCGATTGATTGGCTGAAAATATTTGTGTTCCAAATTCAAATGAATTTTAATCCCTTGGGATTAAAAGACCTATTTTAATCCTACTTAAGTGCGACTAAAGCGTAGTTTTTTGAATAGAGGGGATGAAAACTACTATTACTAGCCGCCCGTTAGCAGCTGCAACTC